CGTTCTCGTCTGCCGGCGGACATGTGGCGCTGCAGCGGCACCGCGGGCTCGAAAGAGCCCCGCCAGTGTCCCACTGGCGTACGATAGCATCACACAAGATAGCAGACGAGAACGGGACTCGGGCGCCTGGGGCGCAAGGGTCCGACACACGAGTTCCGCGCACGGACGGACGTAACGATCCGGCCATCGCGTCACGTTCCACACCTTACGGTGGGAGTTATTCTATGTCGGTTCCTCTCCTCGCGTTGTTGGATAACCTACATAGCCGCTGCGCGGCTATCTCCGAGCGACGACCGATGAGCGATCGGATGTGGCGATGGCCCCGCCGGATATACCCGATGCATGACCCGATGGGGCCGCGTCTTCCCTCTTCGGTGTGGGCGAGTGTTGTGCTTCGCAAAGTCGGCTATTCTCCCTCCGAGGTCGTCCATCCTGTGGATGTTTTGTGGAATTCTTTCTTCTGCGGATCTGTGACGGACCTCTGGTGTCGACCTGTGTGCTAAAGAAAGAGTTCAACAAAAGAAAGAAAACAGAGAAACCAAGGGCCAAGGCCCGGGGGGGATGGGAGGACGACACGCCGCCACCACACGGGTTTTCTGTGTCGTTGTGCACTTTCGCGGCCGTTCTTTGAGGAGAGAGAGAGATTGTTGTTGTCTTTGACGTCCGTCCGCTGCCGCGCCGATTGAACGCGGTTTTTTGGTGGTGGGGGGCGGGAGAGAGAGATTCTTCTTCTTCTTGGTTGGTGGGTGGGTGGGTCACACACACAGGGATTTTAAGGAGAGGAGTGTGGTGCTAGCCGTCGCCCACCCATCCCTTGGCGCCTTAGCTCCCCGGCCCTGGATGTGAGGTTGATGACTGCACTCCTTGGGCGTCTGCCTCTTCCTATCTCTCTTCGCAGTCCCTCGCCAATCAATTATCGCAGCGACCTTCATTGTCACTTCGCGGTCTTGTTATTGAGAAGAAAATATCTCCGTTAGCGCTGTGTGCGCTCTGGTTCACAGATAGGACAACAACAATTGATGAGAAACAAGAGAGAGGGCTCACATCGCAGACAAACAGTGGAGTGAGGGTGTGAAGGCGACAAACACAAACAACAGAGAGGCGGACCTACTCGACTCGAGAGTAGGGAAGGTTCACACAAAAACACAACCCCGGACCCAAGACGCACAAGCACAGACAGTCGAGATACGAGAAAGAAACAGCATCGACAGTCAGAAGTCAGCACTGACTGTGGGTCCCAGGAAGGCGAATGCGATGACGGCCTCTAGTGTGAGGAAGGTTCACAGCCTTGTTATTGAGAAGAAAATACGTCTTATGGCGCTGTGCGCTGGGTTCCGGCTCCTAGCCGGATAGGGGGTCTGTTGCCACTGGCTGGCCCCTCCCAGATAGGTAGGTAGGTTGGTCTTGTTTCGCCCAAAAGGGCCCTGCAATAGGTAGGTACCCCCTATTTTCATCTTTTTCGCTTCGCTGCGCGGCCTGGGGATAGGTAGGTAGGTAGGGCGTTTTGGCGCGAGTCAGTGGCCACAGACCCCCTATCCGTATCCGGAACCCTGGTCTGTGAGAGGTTGAGGTGCGAGCCCTTGGAGGCCCCGTGTATGTAGGTTGGTGAAGAACAGTCAGGCTCGGACTGGACACCAGGCCCTGGGGGTGGGGGGAGACTACCCGCGGGCCTAGAAGGCCTTCACAGATTGCATGGCGAGACTAAGGGCGTCTACGCCCTTAGCGAGACCGCCCGTTCGCCCGGGAGGCAATCCTCATGGCGAGCAATCCCAGGGGGAGCGGCCCCATTGTCGCAATGTCGTACTTCGCATCGCCTGTGTGCACACGCCACCGCCGAACTGGCGCGGACAGGCAGAGCATCCGGACCGTGTGACCACCGCGATGAGCGCGCTGCAAGCAGCTGGCATCACCACACGCTGCGATTTGCTGCAGTGCGGCCGGGAGTCGAGCGACGAGGAGCTGCAGCGCGTGCACTTGCGCAAGCACCCCTGTGCAGCCCAAGCTCTTCCTCGGCATCGCTGCCTTGTTGCTGAATGCGTGCGAGGCGGCTCGCCTGCCTCCGCACATCGGCCGCGTACGCGGCGGCGCAAAGCAAGAGCAAGAACTCCTTCTTCACCGAGGGCACCTAGTCGGCCGCTCGCGTCGCCGCCGCCGCTGTCATCGACGCCACGAAGCACGTGCTCGGCGATCACGGCCCTCGCCGATCGTTTGTCCTGGCGCGGCCGCCGGGCCACCACGCGAGCCGCACTGGCGTGCCAGACGAGGGCGGCGAGGGTGATTTTGCAGAGGGCGGCTGCTACTACAACTCAGTCGCGGTCGCGGCGGCAGCGGCGCAGCAGGATGGCGTCGATCGCATCGCCATCGTTGATTTCGACGTGCACCACGGCAACGGCACGCAGGAGATTTTCGAGTCCGACCCCTCCGTCCTGGTGATCTCGCTGCACGCCGACCTTCGCTACCCGGGCACGGGCGCCATCGAGGAGGTCGGCGAGGGCGCGGGCGCAGGCTTCAACGTCAACATAATGTGGGAGGGCTCCGCGGATTGGCCGCCGCACTACGCGGACTACGCCGTCGCCGTCAAGCTCGTGGTACTGCCTATTCTCCAGGCGTTTCGACCAGGGCTGCTGCTCATCTCGGCCGGCTTCGACGCGGCCGAGGGCGAGGGCTTCCATGCGAAGCTGGCGCCGGAGAGCTTCGGCGCGATGACCGAGTCAATGCTCACGGCGCTGCCGGACGTGCCCACCGTAGCGGCGCTGGAGGGTGGCTATGTGCCGCCCATGGTCGCCAGGTGTTGCGTGGCCGTCATGGGCGCGCTGCTCGGCGACAAGGTGGACGAGCCCGAGGAGACCAAGATCTCCAAGCTCAGCGAGAGCAAAGGCTGCAAGGCGACTTTGCTGAAGGTGGCCGAGGCGCACGAGGCGCATTGGGGCGAGAGCGCCAACCTGACGGTCGCCAAGGTCAAGGCCTTCTTCGAAGGGCAGAGAGAGCGGCAGAAGGGCCTGCCGAATGTCCGCGGTACGTTCGAAGCGGGGGCGTGCCTAGCGTCGCTCCGCGCGTCGGCGCGGGACATGCACACACACACACACACACACACACACACACACACACACACACACACACACACACACACACACACACACACACCGCACCGCACCGCACCGCACCGCACCGCACCGCACCGCACCGGCGCTGCTCGGCTTAATCGAAGGCGTTCCGTACTGTCTCGCGCCTTGTCTCGTGTGCTGTGTAGTTATGACTTGTGACGTGTCGGGTGTCGCCTCCGGCCGGCCGGCCGTGGTTTGTGGCGGTTCACCCCAGCGATATGGCAGCTTTCGTCGGGAACACTTGACGGTCGCGGCCTTCCGACTCGCGCCAGTTCCCAGACCCAGTACAGGCGGGCAATCGTGCCGCGCACACGCTCACTAAGCTCGCGAGAGCTCTCGGCCGTCTCCCCGGGACGTCCCCGCGGGCGCGGCGGCCGGCGCCCGCGGGCGGGCCCCATTTCTCCCCGTATTTGCATCCGCGCACGCAGCATCCCCGCAGGCTTGTTGCCGCCACCCCCTCGCAAGGCGCACACACACAGGATTTTAAGGAGAGTGTGGTGGCGACCGGGTGAGAGAGTTTGCGACTTGAATTCTTTCTTCGCGTCCCAGCTTGCCCCACACGACAGTCGATGAAGCAGGTATTCTCAAGAAGAGATGGGCGACGCCGAACATAGCGGCACAGCGCGCACCCAGCGCGCACCCCGCTTATGTTTTTTTCACCCCCGCCTGGGTTCCGGCTCCTAGCCAGATAGGGGGTCTGTTGACACTGACTCGAAGTAGCTATCCCCAGGCCGCGCAGCGAAGCGAAAAAATGAAAAGAAAAGGGGGCCTATTCAGGAAATTTTTCAAACAAGACCAACCTACCTACCTATGAGCTATGTGGGAGGGCGACTACCAGATCCCCTATCTGGCTAGGAGCCGGAACCAGCCCGGTATGTCGGCAGTGCCACCCGAACATCGATGAAGCGCGCTCGCCAGGACGACTCCGTGGCCCGCATCGGCCAGGCGCTGCTGGACTCGCGCCAGCAGCGACGACGAGGTGCCAAGAGTGCAGCTGGTGCCGTCAGCGGAGAAGCACGAGCTTCCTCCGGCGACAGGTCGGCGGTGCGCAACCAGGATGCATCGCAGATCCTGCGGCACGGCTTTGTTGAGACGCCATCCACCCTCCTCGAGCCATCGCTGCGAGCGGCACTCCTAGCGCGCGCGCAGGCGGGCGGCGGCCACGACATCAGCAACGCAAAGGAGCTGCGCATCGGAGGCTCGCTGCTGCAGTGCGTTCGCGACGCCGTGTGCTCGTCTCCCACCGTGCGGCAGGCGGCGCGTGAGGTCTTCAGCACGCCGTACGTCTCGATTCCGTACGTCTCCGTGCTCTCGACACACCCTGGGCAGCAGCCGCAGCTCCCGCACGCCGACGACACGTGCAACCGCGAGCTCATTGGCCTCATCCACCTGCGGCCGGGGCAGGCGCCGACCCGCTGCGCTCCCTACGACAGCAGCAGGACGTGGCCCACGGGATGGACGGCCAAGTGCACCGCGTGTGACGCCGCCGTCCCGCTCACCGACAAGATGTACCGCGAGCGCCGTCACCTCCGCATCGGCTTCCGGTGCGACTCTTGTGGCGGCGGCGGCGGCGGCGGCGGCGCGAGGGGCGCAGGAGGCATCCCGCCTCGCCACGCCTCGCGCCGGCGCGAGAGCCGCCCCGCCGAGTTCGGGGACGCGCTCCGCGCCGCGTTTGGCGAGCTGCTCGAGGAGGGCGCGCCGCAGCTGTGCCGGCACTCGCTCGGCGCGCCGCCCCCCGCGAGCCTGCCCTCGACATGCCGAGAGAGAGAGAGAAGACCCTAGGGCTGCCGAGATCTGTCGAGGGGAGGCAAGCTGCACCTCGACGCGGGAGACCGCCAACCGTGGAGCTGTGCACTCTGCTCCACCCTCGGGCTCGGACGCTCAGCGCGGACCAGACAACGCACGCGCTCTTCGACTCGGTGCCAGCCCAGGGCGCGGACATAGCCCCGGCAGAGAAGAGAGCTCCCGGAAAAGCCGTAGAATCCCACCCTCGCCGAG